AGTAGCGAAGAAATAGAACCTGAGCCTTGAGTTTCTTCATCAGGGCTGTCCCATCCACCTGCTTCTAATTCTGGCCATTCCTACCTCCCTCCAACCCTATTTTCCGTCACTTTTCAGCATTCTCCATTCTCAAAAACAAAACAAAACAAAACAAAACAAAAGAAAACCCTCTCAGCTCCCCTATTTAAATGAAAAAACAGAAAGTGATTAAAGGAATCTACATAGTAAGATGTGAAGTATTCAGTTAAATATCATAGCGCAGCTATCTACTAAAGGTCCTTAAAATGTCATTTTTAACACTTTGCCTTCTTTGTATTTTGGTGAGAGTGTCAGAGACAGCCTGTAGCTAAAAACTGCTTCAGAGAGACAAACCGGTAATGGCAGAATGTAGACTGATGAAATTCTGTGCGGCAAACTGAACCAGACGTCCATCACTGTCATCGCTACTACGGCATTGTGGTAGGCGTTTTACGTATTTTATCCTTTTTAAACTTAGTACAAACCTAAGTACAAACCTTAGTACAAACCTACTTAGTAGTAGAAACCCACTACTTTCCTATGCACACTTTACATTCCAGCTAACTAGCCTAGAAAGTGCCTCCAAATGCTCCCTTATCTATATCTCTGTTCGTGGATGTCCTCTGCCTGAAATGCACACCCTACTTGACTAACAATCCTCCCTTCACATTCCTAACCTTTTTTAAGATCCAGCTCAAACACTACCTCATCCACGTACCAAGCACTATTGACGATAGAAGAAAGGGATAAATCACATTACCTGCCATCAATTAGCAAAATAGTCTATGTGGAGAGCTCAGCAATAGATGCGTCCATAAGAGATCCCTTGATTCTTTATCCCACTCCCCAAACTTACTCCTATGGCAGTGTTTCCATCCCAGTTAATGACACTTCCAGTCTTCTAAGTATTCAGGTCAAAAACCTAGGAGTCCTACTTAATCCCTTTATTTCTCTAACCCCAAACCTCTCTCACCCACACACGAACGTTTAATTCATCAGCAAGTCCTTCCAAATATTATCCAACCCAACATTTTACCACCTTGGTCCAGGTCATCATTATCTCGTTTGCATTACTGCAATAACCTCCTAATTTGTCTCTGTTCTTCCATTCTTGCCTTCCCAAATGCTTTTCTCCAAGAATAAATAAGACAGTCATGTCCCTCACAGAATATAATCCCAAATGTGGAGTCTAACTATTAACAGGAACATACATTACTTCACATTAGAATACTGCATTCTGCAGAATCCTAGGCTAAGTTAATTTTCCAGTGTCCCTTAGAGATACTTACAATAGAAGGCCCCAAAATCTAGAGAGGCAAAGTTTAATCACAGTTGAATTACTGTTAAAGACTAGGGAAGAAGTAACAGAAAGTGGCAGAAAGAACATGGGCTTTAGAGTCAAACAGACCCAAATGTTAACCCTAAATCTGGCACTTTATTAGTTCTACAGCTTTCAACCACAGAATTAAAATGTTGATGATGATAATAATAATACCAAAACTAATGTGAAATATTTGCAACTTACCAAGCTAATACATGTTAGTCTGACTCCAAAAACTACTCTCATAAGGTGATTTAATGAAATGATACAACAAAGTTAAGGGAAGAGTAATTGACAGTGTGGAAAACATACTTATATTTGATGAGACACCTAAGTTCTACTGCCTCTTCAGCAATAGAGCATCTAAAGTACAATATGCTGTTTTGTTTATTGTTTTAGTCACTTCTCAGGACCAAAATATTACACAACTCCAAATGTCACCAATCACATTATAATCTATAAGTTT